ATTACATTAGCACTATGTGTGAGTAACACGTAACTTCGTGCTTAGGACGAATTACTTACAATCGCATTTTTAGCTTCTGCTATCATAATTTCATAAATGGTCATGTTAATTACTGAAACCTGTTTTGCAAGTTTATCAAGATGAAAAACTCCTCACGATCGTTAATTTTCTTGACTACCTCATATTACAAAAATGCATCGGAAAAATATGACGGTTTTATTGTAACTAAACGGCAGATATTTCTTATCGTTTGAAGGAAATTTTGATGTTTTCAACCGGGTATGAGCAGATTTGTCACTTTATTAACATTATTATTGTAATTATTAGTAACACAATATTATAACTGTTATTATTACTACCAATATTCTCATCATTTTCTGGGCTGCAGATCAATATGTCACCTTATTTACTCTGTCCGAGGCATCTTCGTTGACGCAATGACCGCAGCGTTGTAATACTTCTGAAATTTACCTTTTAACGAATAAGCCAGAGTTTCCATCAAAAAATTGATATTCAAAGGAGTGAAATTTTATCAGCTACACTTGTTCTCATCTAATTTGAGACAACGTACCTTGTATCAGACCAATTGTCAGATCTTAGTCGAGACGATCAATATCTGTGAAGAGAATCCGTTCGTCAGTAAAATGATTACGAGTCAAAGCTATATCGAACATATAGTTTCGGAATATGCATGACTATCAAGCAATCATCGGCAAAATGTGCTAAAAGTGTAGATTAAATGTTACATGTTTCAAACAGTTTGGTTTTTTTTTTTGTTTGTTTAAATTTGTAATTCACCTGCAAAATCAAACATTCAACCAAAGTAACAACAGTAAAAACATTATCATCATCATCAACTTAAATATCAGAGAGCACAAACGAAAAAAAAAATGCAGCAAAAATTAAAATGCAGAAAATTCTATTAGCTCACTTACCAAGACGACAAAACATGACACGAAAATAACAAATTAGACATTCCTTTAAACCAGCCCTCGAAAAATGAAAAAAAAAAAAAAATAAAGGAAATTATTTAAAACTGAAAGTCAAAAGCGGTCTATGTGTTCCTAAGCTGCCACTTCGCTTGTTGTAGGGG